CTTTTACTTCCCTGAAGGAGCCCGGGGGCAGGAAGGATGCTTTCTTCTCCTTGCGTCCCGTTTGGTAGCCTGCTCTCATGGGTGCTGCGTGCCTACACTCCTCTGGGTTAAACGCTGCCCGTTCCCTTGCAGGGGCACAAAAAAAAGGGGCCTTCTGTCTTCTTGAAACAGAATCTGCCCCCACCCATGCATCCATTAACATTCTGTTCAGAGGGTCCGTATACATGATTTACTCCAACTTTCTGCCCTGCGAATTGATAACAAACCCCCTTTGTTTTTGTTACCCAGATTTTTGAGCAGGTAACAGAATCCAGTGGGAGTGGGTCCTGCGAGAGCCCTGCTATTCACCTCGGTGGGACACATCCCCCTTCCCTGGCCTGCAACGCTGCGGTTTCTCACAAGATAGGGTATCGGTAAAACTGAGATCGGTAAAACTGAGCGCGCAGCGAGCTCTGACCTCGCACGCGGAGCCCAGCACTGCAAAGCAGAGCTCTGCTCCTACACAAGGCACCAACCCCGCCCTTCCCAAACAGGATCGCACAGAACGGGGGCTGCCACCGCCACCCCCGGCTGCGAGAGCCCCTGCCCTCATTCAGCCACACTTGGGATGCTGGTGTGCAGGAGTCACCGTTGTGAACCCAAATCCAAAGAGCTTTCAGCGAGCCAGGACTCCGTGCAAAGCCCAAATTCATCACCCCCATCCGCTCAGCCACCGCGGGGAACGGCCACAAGCTCAGACATGTTGAGAGTCGTCTGTAGGGTCTGGCGGTCCCAGGCCTCCATCCTCCTCAGGTAGCACGCACGCTGCTCCACCGGCTTGTAGCACACGTAGCCCTGCAAGACAGATCGTGCCTCGTTACAGCAGGCAGCGGCACACACCCGCAGCAGTCTCAAGAGCCCAAAAAATGGACATTCCTCCATTTGCCCTGCGTTATCTTTCCTAACAGTGCAGAGAAAGGCACCAAACAGTAGCTGGTTGATATTTTTCCTGGTGTACACCTCCTGCTCCCACCCCAGCAGCTCTTCTCTCAGCAGCTTGGGCTCCTCTGCTCACTTCTGCGCTAACGAGGAGGGTAATTATCCCAACGCGCTTACGTTCCTGCCGTCATACAGCACCACGGCGCTGTGGTTACTCTGCGAGGTTACGTAGTAGGTCACGGTGCTCCTGGACTTGTCGACCAAGGCTGTCTGATTCCTCAGCGGGTCTTGCTGGCCCCGAAGCGTTAGCGGGACGAACTGCGAGCCAGCCTGGGCACAAAGAGAGGGGGGGCCGGTGCCCCTCACGCCGAAGGCACCCACCCTGCCTGGCAGCAGGGTGCCGGAGGAAAGGGCCGG